GAGGGATCAACAACATGTCGATATAGTGACACAATCGATCAGAAAAGTACCGGGTACAGTCTACAAGAGCTGCTCTATGCTGTGAACTACCCATGTCTAGTTTGGTAGAGCATCTCCAGTGTGGGGCTAGCATCGATTTTAGAGGAAAGAAACCGAACAATGCACATTGTTAGAATCGATTAGATTGTGTTCGGTAAAAAATGACTTTCGAAGAGAATTCGACCAGTCCTAAAAGAGAAAAAAGAGAGAGTTCGACCACATGTGATTAAGGGTTTGTTCAGATTACAGAAAAAAAACCTTACTAAATTTTGGCTATGACAAAATCTTGGCATTTTGGTAATATTACCAAATTTTGGCAGGAATTCTTATATATTTGCCAGAGTTTAGATGCACAGATTCGATAATTTTACTTAAAAAATGGTATGTTTAAAATGACATCAATCTAAACAACCCTTAAATAAAATACTTGCTTGCGTACATTGGCCTGGCGCACACGGGAGGACGCCGAAAAAGGTTGAATTTTTTCTCCGTGGGTCCCATAAAATCGATTTTTACACACTACATGGATCAAACCAACTTTTTATTTATGTTTAGACTGCACAAGCCGAAGAACACACTGCTGATGCCCTTAGTGAAGATCTGGGTTGAAGACACAGAGGGGCTCTAATGCTCTATCCAATAATGATGCATTTCATGTTAGGACCTGCCAATTAATTATCTGAACACTACTGCCTCTGTCCCATAATAATTGCATTTCTAGAAAATTAGAGATAGATTAACATTAACAAACACAATTTACAACAATATCCCTATTTAATAACTACATGCATATTCCATATGTATACTTGATTAAAAGCAAGGTTGAGGGACACACATTCCATATGTAAACTTAATTAAAAGGAAGGTTTGGGTACACATTCCATTTGTTGCTTCCCATATTATTAGAAATACAATATTTTTTTGACAAATTTGAATGGTAGAAATGCAATTATTATGGAACGGGGGTAGTAGCTACGTTTACAGGGCCAGGGGCATATGCCTTTTATTCACGGTGATTTAATTACCACATCGTGAGTTATGAGTAGATGGTCTTTTTACATGATACTACATCCGTCCAAATGTCTATTTTTTTACACGGTCTTCAATGATATACTTTGACTATTAATTTATCCCATGTTATGTTTTCAATAAATATGAAATTAGTATCACATGAAAGTAGAGTAACATGCCTTATATATATGTTCATTTCAGGCATTGATGTCAGTTACGAACCGACTCTAATGTTATTTTCTGCAGTAGTAACACAACCCTATCTCAGACAGTGGTTGTTACTTTGTACGTATCAATCTTGTCCCAAAAATAGATGTATCAACCTATCCTCCGGGCAACAACTCTGAAGCACGTGTTAGACATAATTCTATGCCTTTGTATATTTTCATAAATTTCTGCTTCCTCAGCCAACTTAATTTGGACTTATGGACTTGCACCCATAAATATTGTGCAAGATATAAAATGAATCTCTGGCATGTCAAACGTTCACTGGTCATACTGTTATTTGAAAATTCTTTGCAGTCATGGTCGTCCTATTTATACACCGGTATCCGTCATCCCACACCTTCGGTTTTGGATTGGGAGGCATTGGGAATCCCAGAGATTCCAAAGAATTGAAGCACAGGTATTGGACACAAGCAGCTAATTTGCTGGTTTTACTGGCGGAGCCTATAACAAGGTTGTTTAGGGTAGCACTAGCTGCTGCATTGTTTACAACATAGCCAGACCTAGAAAGCCAACAGTACTAGAAAATGGTTTTTTTTAACTGTCAACGTTTTTTTATGGCTAGGAAATTGCTTTCACTGAAAATGAACCTTTTGACATCTGGGAGCAATGCTTCACGAAAACTGCTCTTTTCGTGGAAGGAAGGATATTCCAGAAGTGAATATTTATCCCTCAAGGGAACGTCCCTGTTCCTTCCTTTTATGTATGTCACCTAAAAATTAATAAAAAAATTATAAAAAAAATTGTATGACAGATATGATAGATTAATATGAAATATGTTTATCCACAAACATAAAATTCAAATTCAATATAACAAGTGAAAAAAATAACAAATATTACTGCGAATAGTACACAGTATTCATAGTCAAATTTGTTATTTTTGTTTATTAAATTTGTATTTCATATTGATCTATCATATTAATTTTTTTCAAATTATTTGATAGCTATTTTAGTGATATGAAAAACGAGGGGATGTTACTTAAGGTATGAAAATAGTTTACCGAATATAATCCAGTCACCAAAAACAAAGTTTGGCTGCGGCAGTACTGCCCACTACTCCCTCCATTCCAAATTGATCTACATATTTCATAAGTACACCAAAAACCAAGAAAAACTAATAACTCTCTAATACTATATTTACTCTAGCAACAAACTCGATACATGAACCATCCCCACTATTTCCTAGCCAATAGCAAATCAAGATATTACATGTGTGCTATAAATACTTGTGTGTATGGATGCATGCATCAATGTTCATTTACTCCAATGCACAAATAACGAATAGACCTAATGAATTAACACAAATATGTAGATCATTTAGAAATAACCTCAAAAAAACTATATGTAGATCAATTTGGAATTAAGGGAGTATTAGAGAAACGATTTTCCTGGACGAGGAGCTACTTAGTTTACAGACGGGCTGTTTTCACGTCCGCACGCAAAAATTGGCCTCCCATTTTCGCGTGCGGACTCTTAAGAGGCCCGCACGAGAAAATTAATTTTCGCAAGGGGCCTCTTAAGGGTGCGCACACAAAAATAAGCCTATTTTCGCCTATGGGCCTCTTAAAATGCCCCCACGCGAAAATCGATTTTCACGTGCAGGTCTCTTAAAAACCTGCCTACAAGTCTATCCTTCCTCCTCTTTTCTCTCCTCAACACTTCAAAATTTCATCTCATCAACCCATCCTCATCCTTATCCTTTCTACGCTCTCTCTCACTCTCTCACCTCTGTATCCTCTCTAACTCTCTTACCTCTCACTCCCGGGCATGGACGGTGCGGGCGCAGCCGGCGGCACCACGCGGCTCGGCAGTGTGCATGCGGCGGCGGGCGACTAGGAGCGGCGGGCTCGACGGCACATGCGCGCAGCGGCAGTGGACTAGGAGAGGCGGGCCCGCGGTGGCGGGCAACAGGGAACAGCGGACTCTCAGCGGCGGATGACCGTGCCCCACCCGGATCCGGCGGAGGCGGCTGCCCCCCACCCCGGATCTGGCTATGGGCGGGCGGGCTCGGACGGTGGGGAGGCGCTGGATCCGGCTACCGCGATGGCGACGGAGACCGCAACGGCGGCGACGACGGCGACCGCGAGGAAGGTGGCGGCGGTAGCTTTAGGGTTACGGTTTTCTTAGATTTTATTTTTTTCGGTTTTTTATTTTTTCGTGCGGGCGACATATAAACCACCCCGCACGCAAAAATCATATTTTTCGCGTCGCATGCAAAAATATCAATTTTTACAGACAGCTGGAAGATCCGCACGTGAAAACCACTTTTGACCGCACGGAAAAATAATTTCTCTACCAGTGGCGTCTTGCTTAATGCCATAGCTTGTGAGCTTGTGAAGAGCATTTTCGCATGCGGCTGGTCATTCGCCAGTGAAAAAACTATATTTTCACTGGCTATTACTTGCAGGCAGCCAGCACCGTCATCAGTGAAAACCTTGTTTTGACTGTCAGTAAAAATAGTTTTCGTATTTGTAGATGCAAGTCGATCCTTCTATTATCAGAAAACCAAACTATCCAGAGGATGCGTGAGTTGATACATTGTGGAACCATTAGTTCCATGATTTTGTTAGAATGAATAATATAGAATTCAAAATTCAATTGCCTGTGTCCTACGTCAAACCGAACAGACTAATTAACAGGCCCGTGGAGAGTAGAACAGCTCGTTCTGTAGAAAGCTATCCTACGGCAACATACAAGAATCATAAAGAAAACACACATGATAAGTTGTGATTCACTGTCACAGCATGGGCAGACGTACAGAGTAGCTATAGCTAGTAGTTGGCATGTTAAGTCAGACTATGTTGTAAACAATCATAACAGCTAGAGCAACCCTAATCGTCAATGTTACAGCCTCCTCCAGCTAAACCAGTAAAACTGCTTGTGTCCTATAGTGGAGTAAACAGTTTGGTATCTCTGAGGTTCTCAATGCCTCTCAATCCTAAACCGGATGAATCTGACGAGTGACGGCTGTGATGTAGAAGAGGATGACAAGAACTGCAAGGAATTTTTAGATAATAGTAGCAGACTAGTGAACGGGTACACGAGATTTTTGAAGGAGTATTCCTGCCAGTTTCATTCGTATCTTGCATAGTATTTCTGGGTCCAAGTCCATAAGAATGAATTTGGGGGAGGAGATAGCAATTTATGAATAGATACAACAAAGGCATGATATTATATGGTCCAAGACACATGGTTCAGTGCGTGAAGAGTAGGTTGAAAAATCCATACTCAATTGTGGTGATGAGGGGTAAATCTGTCGTCACCCACCACCACCGCTATTATGTTGGTCCGTCGAATGATAAGGTAGATGGAGTTTTGTCCTTTCCTTAATCTCAAGCCATTAAACAGGGGATTTTTTTAAATGAGGTAAAAATGATGACAAATAATATGAGCCCCCTCGTTGCAACGCATGGGTATTTAGCTAGTAGTTTGATATACATACAAGGTCACCTGTTAGAGTGCGCAGCCTGGCCCACCAACCTTGGGCCACCCATGTGATATTGGGCCTGCTCCACCACAGGCCCAATCAGAGCCACAACTTTAGGTTCTGGACCTAAGCAACCCAAAAACCTAGTTTGATGAGTGAGTACCGCGCCTCCCACCTTTTAAGTCGTGCTTCCTATCATCAATTACCGATGTGGGACTAAACCCAACATCACCCTCAGCACAGTCTGACAGGATTGTTGTGTCATCCTGAGCTAAAGCCACTTTAATTATGTACATAATGTTGAACGTACGGAAATATAGAAAAACTGAATTGATGTAGGATGATCCAGAGGCAAAGACGATAAAAAAGTTGCATTTAATTTTTAGCATGAACACAAACAACTACGGATGCCAAAGAAATTTGTTTAACATAGTCAATATAGTAAACAGTGCACTAGTCTCTTGACAGTTCAGGAGGCCAGACGGGCTTATTCATTAATAAATTATGTATGACTTATTCATTAATAAATTATGTGGGACTTACATGCATTTGGTTTAAAAAAACACACAAGCACTAACTAACATTTATACTTTTCCAAATTGTGTCATCCCATTAAAACGTCGATCGCTCCTCTGAAGAGATTAGCTTTCACAATATTGCCAACCTTCGGAAGATCTCTTAATAAGAGGCTGCATGACAGCAAAAGCTTTCGCTTTTCCTAGATGGAGAGAGATAATTTTCAAGACCTCCCAGTCCAAATGTATATGTAGATTATGTAGAAGCAGACTGCAATATGACAATATATATAATGAGTGAATCAGAAATGGCGATGTTGTCTGAATTGTTTCTATTTTGGTAGCAAGACACATGTATGGTTTATACTTGTATGCACGGCTGTGTCTTGTACACTTCAAAGTGAACATCTCTTAATAACTACCTACCGTATGATCAATTGGGAAGAAGTACTGTATGGCTTGCCTCAAAGTACAAATCATAGCACATATGGCATATCATAACATGACCTAAAAATCTACCACCCTTGAAGAGTTGTATTCCTCCTTATATATATAGATATGCCCTTCATGAAGAGAGGTACCAAAACTAATCTTAGAGGTTGGAATAGGGTTGAGAAGTTTTTATATATGTTCTTAATATTTTCTTCCATTTTTTTAGAGTCATAGGTAAATGTATTATTTCAATGGTATATATATGGAGGCATATACCTCATGACTAACATTGTGAGGTATATATGCCTCTATATACCTCCCAAGTCCCATGGAAAAAAAAGTCTAACCTTACCAATTGTATACTGTTCTTTCAATCAGTTCCACCGATTTTCTTTCTTTTTCCCCTTGAATAGTGAGGAGGTACCTTTCCAAGGAGGTAAGAGAAACCTCAATAATTATATACCTAGTTTTTGTGCACACCTGTTTGGATGCATTATACATGTTTAATGCGTGACTCCTTTATTCACATGAAGGAAGCACATCACATGTTTTTATAATTGTTTTATAATGAAGAAAAGTGTAGCCTTCGTACCTCACAACTATTACAATGAACTAGCTATTTTCTGTCGCTCAACTACAACAATGGGTCAAAACATTACTCATATCTCTAAACATGAAACTCTTCACTGTATGAACAGATGAGTTAGCATGCTGACAAGACAATGCACAACTATTAACATCTCTCGTGTGCAGGGGAGAGAGATAGAAAGAGCAAAACCATAGTAGAGAGCTCAAGTGCTCAACAAATGGGCCAGGCCTCGTCAACATGTTGAGTCATGTATCCATGGCTAAAAGTTCATTCAAATGAGTGGAATGATGGAATGTGTCTGGTATAGAGAGAGGAGGAAAATTTGAAGTTTAGGGACAAAATATTTAACTGTTGCCATAGGTGTGGAATGGAAATTTTTTTAATATGTAATAATTGGATGAGACTATGGCTTGGGCATCTTGTTTATTTCGAAAAAGAATCAAATGTTGTTTCACCACTTAGTGAAACGCTTCAGAGAAATGGAATGTTTAAAAACTACAAACTGCAACACCAACAACCGTGACATGAAACATTGAGCCCAGTGATAAATCCATGGAAAGAATTCATAAAATCGATAAGTAAAGTCAAATTTGAGTGGAAACATTTGCATCTGACACGTAAAATCGTTTAAAGTTACTAATGCAGCACATGCATGAATGCAGACAGCCACTGCATGCTCAAGGAGATAGAGAGAGTAGACAGACTATCTGTCTAAGAGATGACGCATGCAGCTAGAGAGAGAAACGAGCACTGGTGGAGAAACCCTTTGTAGTCCCGGTTCGTAACCCCCCTTTAGTCCCGGTTTCCAAACCGGGAGTACCAATCCGGGACTAAAGAACGCTATCTTTAGTCCCGGGTGAAATAACCGGGAGTAAAGATCGACGAGAGGATTTATTAGCACGACGAGCAACGCATGCTAACCTGGGGATTGAATAGGATATCATAGAATGTAGCATATTGTCTGAACTTATAGGGTCTTTCCTATAATACTTTCCTTACACTAACTATACTCTTTTCTGCTCTTCAAGTAGGTGGCGTGGACGGTGTGTCCCTTGCCTATTCTTAAGTGACTTTGTTTGGATTCTGTTTATGTGTTTTTTCTAGAATTGGTATGTTGCACTCGTGTTCTGTAAAGTGTGCTAAAGTGGTATGTATGTGCCTTATGTTCTGTGCATTGCTGAGCCATCTTTAGTCCCGGTTGGTGTTACCAACCGGGACTAAAGATCGAGCTGACCTTTTTTTTTTTTGCATGGCCCTGTTGCTGCATGGTTTATATATATATATATATATAAACCATGCATATATATGTTTCACTACATATATATGCATACATATATATATGTATATATATATATATTATATTATATTATATGTATATACATGCATAATATATATGTATTTATACATATATATGTTATGCAAATGCATATTGTCACGTCCTGATAAATTCATCCCAAAATTAAAATTCATTCGCTAAAAGGAATAATAGAATTAATTAAAATTCGAAAAAGAAATTGGCAAACATTAAAATACGTACAAGAAAAATTTAAATGTGGCCCGGAGAGTTTTTGTTAAATTCTCCTTGGTCTAAAAGGAGTCCTCAAATTTTACTTGAATTTTCAGAGCACCGGAAATAATTATTAAGCAACAACAACCTTGATCAAAGTTTTTTTAAAAGAAAACCTAAAAATCCCTCCTCTTCCTCCTTTGGGCCAAGCCCAGTCCGAAGTCCTCCTCTCCTCCCTCTTTTCTCTCCCTCCTCCTCTTGGGCCCCCTTCCCCTCGGCCCACCTCCCTCTTCCCTCTCCCTCCCGGGCTGCCTCTCTCTTCCCCTCCCCTCCCGGCCTGCCCGGCCCAGGCCGCCTCTCCCTCCTCTCTTCTTGGGCCGGCCGCCGGCCCAAGCCGCCCCAGCCCCCGAGCCGCTCCCCTCCCGCACGTGCCGCGCGCGTGCGCGCGCTGACGCCGCCGCCCGACCGCGTGGGGCCCACGCGCCAGGCGCGTCTCCTTCCTCCCGCCCGGCCGTCCTCTCTCCCTCTCCCGTGAACCCTAGCTCGCTTCCTCCTCTAAATCCGCTTGATTCACTTGGTTAATTCCAAAATTAAATAGGGGAAATTAATCCCCATTGACTCCTCTTCATTTCCCCCTAATTTTCCCCTTGAATGGTGCCCCCAATCGCCGGGAACGGCCGCGCCATTCCCGGCCGCCTTCCATTGCCGCCGGCCGGCTTTTCCGCCGCCGTTCCGACCTCCCCCGTGGCCGGCTCCCTCTTCGCTCATATAAAATAGGATCCCCGCACTCCGTTCTACCGTTTTAACCCCATCCCGAGCCTCCCCGTGGTCTCTAGCCCCATCCCCGCCGTCGCCCTCTCTCTCCCATGCCGCCGGCGACCTCCAGCCGCCTGTGCCGCCTCGCCCGTGCGCCGGCCGGCCGCGCCATCGCCTCCTCCAGCGTCGCCGCCACCTCCTCCACGCCGGCCTGCCCTCCGTTTCGCGAGGAGACCCCCGGAACTACGTTCCCGCCGTCGCCCTCCTCTTTCATTCGCGCCGGCCACCTCCAGCCGCCTTCCTCTCCTCGCCCGAGCACCGCCCGGCCGCGCCGTCTTCTCCCTCGGCCTCGCAGCTGCCTCCTCTTTCCCGACTTCGCCTCCGTTTCGCGGGGAAATCACCGGAGACGCGTCCTCACCGACGACTAGTGGTGTCGCCACCACTCCACCATCTCCAGCCGTCCCGGCCGCCTCGCCTGAGCGTCGGCCGACGTCACCGTCTCCTCCCTCGGCGTCGCCGCATCGCCCTCCACCCCGGCTGCTCCTCGGTTTTCGCCGGAACGCCGTCGCCGCGCCGGTCTCTCCATCCTCTTCGTCGCCGGCGTCCTTTCGGCCGCCCCTTCCTCCTCCCCGGCTCGTCGGCTTGCTGCACCACTACCACCTCCGGCATCGCAGCGGCAAGGCCGTCCTCGGCATCGTTTCCCCTCCATCCAAACCCCTCCGCGGTCCATCATCATCGTCTCCGACCGTTCTCGTCGTCGACGTCCCGTCGGTCGCTCGGCTCGTCGTCTCGCGGCGCCGCCTCCGTCATCGTCATCGTAGCGGCGTGTTCCTCGTCGTCCTCGTCCCCGTGCAGCCGCTGCCGGCTGTCCTCGTCACCTCCTCGCCGGTCCCGGTCGTCGTCGTCCTCGTCCTCTCGTCGTTCCCGGTCGTTGTGGCGTTCGTCCCTCCGTCGAGCCGTTCTCGTCCGTCGTCCGCGTTCGTCAAGCAAGCCGCCGCAGCCCCGTCCTCGTCTTCGTCCTCGGCTCCACGTCGTCAAGCCCCGTGCCGGCCGCGTCTCGCCTTCGTTCAAGGATCGCCGCCGAAGCCGTCCCCTCGCCGTTCGTCTCCGTTGTGCCCGTCTGTCTCCGCCGCGCCCGTTCGTCGTTGTCGTTCCCGCGCCTCGTCGCGTGGTGGTAAGGATCCGTCCTCTCGCTTCCCCGCCCTCGTCCTCTCGGTGTCGCCCCGTACCCGTTGTGCGGTCGTCGACCCCGGTACCCGTGTACCGGTGTCGGTAGTCGTTCACGCGTGCGGGTGGTGACCGTGTAGTGTCCGCGTTAGTGTGCCCGCTCGGTAGCCGCGTGGTTTCCACGTGTGCAACCCGTGTGGTGTCTAGTGGAGTCCGTTTGTCGGCCACTCGCCTCGGTTGACACACGGGGTCCGCTTCCGTCGACCCGTGGACCGTCTCTGTGTACCCGGTCTACCGTGGTCCTTTAGGTTGACATGTGGGGTCCGCATGTCAACGGCGCAGCCTTCCTGTCTTTTCCAGGCTAGCGCTTACACATGTTTTATAATTGCAAAGCTTAATAATCCGCAAATCTCCATATAACAGCATTAAACCTCGGATGATCATATTTTGGTCATACGAACTCCGAATCGACCCGTTCAAGTCTCCTAATGTTTGTTATAACCTAAAGAACCCTGTGCTTTCTTTTTATGTATTGTTATTGCTTCTTTATAGGCTTGTAGCTTTGCTTGTGTGCTTCGCGTAGCTTCTGTCGTTCCGGAGGTTCCCGAAGCGTGGTTCGTGGTCGTCGCCGTAGGTTCGGAAGGCCGTTCTCTCTGAGCAAGGCAAGTCACATCATCCTTGAGCATATTGAATCCCAGTTTACAAAATTATTTTTAATTTAAATTAATGCATTATCGCTTTGTTTAAATTCCCGCGTTATCACTGTTTTATTTAGCCATGCCTATTTACCTTTGTTATGACCTTATTATTGCTATTGTTATTATTATTACTTTGTTCACCCTAGATTAAACAAAACCTCAACTAGTGGGTACTCTATTCATGGTTCCACTAGTATGAATTTAGGTAGATGCTTCGCGGTTTGAATTAGACAACATTAGGTGGTTTTACAACTTTAGACTTGGGAAATTCTCATATCATTTGGACACTATGGAATGGTTGGCTTATGTTGGAATTGGACACACACCTCTCTTCCTCTTTCAAAACCCCTAAAACCTGTTTTCGGTGGGGTTTGGGTGCATGCCAGTTGTGGGAAGTAGCACCCCGGCCACTATAAGGATTAAGCTCGGGCCTCTGTTGCAAAGCACTACCGTACTTCCACATGTCTAATGGGTAAGGCTTAGTTTGTGGCTCAGTCTAGTCATAAACAAAAGTACACGGATTGGAGATGGATGAAGTCGGGTGTCGATGGACATTCTCCAGGGCAAATGAAGGCTACACGAGCTGCGGCCCGGTAGTCGAGATGTCATACGGCAGAGGGTTGGTGCCCTGCTGCTAGGGGCTCAGTTCTGCCTGCCTGTCCCGGGTATCCCGGCCGTAGGTGGGATTGGGTCGGTACTCTTGTCTAAGGCTAGGATGGGTTGGGAACTATGTCACATCTTTACGACGGGTTCCAAGGCCATGGAATGCGGAGTAAAGATGTGTCTTGTGGGTAAAGATGTACACCTCTGATCAGAGTAAATCTATTCGAATAGCCGAGCCCTCGGATATGGGCAAGCCGAGCAATGTACCCAAGTCAGTGTTTTAATTCTTAAAATTTGCTCAACAACTAAAATATGGAATGGTTGCCCTGGGTTGGCTTGGGACGAGCTGGGACCCAGGTCGGGTTGCCAGTTCGGTCCGAATCATCGCAGGCCTTGGGTTAAGGCAGGTTCGTGAGGGTTCACGGCCTTGTTTAATAATACTGTGTAGCTCTAGGATCGTCTTTACAAAACGGCTTTGGGCAACTAAGTGGCTTTTAAATGCTGTTTACTGCAAAACTTAATCCCTATATTATTATTCCCTTGTACCTCCCTTGCATTAATTATGCATCCCCGGTGTGGCTTGCTGAGTACTGTGGTTGTACTCATTCTTGCTCAATCCTTCCCCTCTTCAGTAAGAGAAGCTTTGGAGAAGATGTCTTAGG